GTTCTGAGTCACACCGATTTACTGCTTGTATACTTATCTAGGAGGAAAATTTATCTTGTTTAGGGAGTTCTACTGTACATTGATATGTTTTAAGATTGCATTTTGTGTTGTGTTTTTGAAAAATATGGTATATGAAATGTGTGTCTAAACTTGTTTATTTATATGTAGCTTTTGTTATGGCTTTCATAATTGTTAACAAAAATAAAATTACATAGTAGGAATCTCAAGAAATTGAACATTTATTTTTTCATTATTCTTATCATACTATATTGCTTACCACAGTTGAGCTATATCTCAAAGTAAGAGATGATAAGCTTTCCTTACGGAGCCTTTTCCACAGAACCGAGAGTGCTCCATGTCAGATGTGCCTACACCAGATGTCACTCCTCACAGCACCGCCTTCCAATGAAAATTCATGGAGGCGAAACCGACTGCGGAATGAACTCAGAAGTAAAGAAGGGGGTTGAATTGTTACATATCTCATTGAGAAGTCTTTGAAAAAAGTTTGAAGTACTTGAAGGAACTGTTTTTGACAAAATGGGTTTTATTTTCAGAATTCATGGTTTTCTATATTTTATTTGTGAATTACTCTCCCCAGCATTAAGGTCTGATCCTCCCGAGGGGATAGAGGCTTCACCCTTAGACAAAATGTCCCTGCACTGGCAGGCCTCCATTCGGGGCCCGGCTGGTTCCCCTTACGAGGGTGGGACTTTCTACCTGTACATACAGATTCCTCCGAGGTAAGGCTGGGAAAATCTCATGTGTAGAAAGTGTTACCAATATTTGTCTGGTCTCTTTCACACACACACTATATATATATATATATATATATATATATATATATATATATATATATATGTATATGTATATATATATATATATATATATATATGTATGTATATATATATATATATATATATATATATATATATATATATATATATATATATATATATATATATATATATATATATATATATATATATATATATATATATATATATATATATATATATATATATATATATATATATATATATATATATATATATATATATATATATATATATATATATATATATATATATATATTATATATTATATATATATATATATATATATATATATATATATATATATATATATATATATATATATATATATATATATATATATATATATATATATATATATATATATATATATATATATATATATATATATATATATATATATATATATATATATATATATATATGTATATATATACATATGTATATACATATGTATATATACATATGTAATATATACATGTATATATATGGTATATATATATGTATATATATATATATATATATATATATATATATATATATATATATATATATATATATATATATATATATATATATATATATATATATATATATTATATATATATATATATATATATATATATATATATATATATATATATATATATATATATATATTATATATATTATATATATATATATATATATATATATATATATATATATATATATATATATATACATATACATATATATATATATATATATATATATATATATATATATATATATATATATACATATATATATATATATATATATATATATATAATATATATATATATATATATATATATATATATATATATATATATATATATATATATATATATATATATATATATATAATATATATATTATAATATAACTTTCATCAACATATGTAATTTGACAACAGGGATTATATTGTTATACTTGAATGGTACACAGTGTTACTAGGTAAAATCCTACTTTGACACTTGTAGGGGGCTGGGAATCCACTCTAAGGTAAATTGTAAAAACAGAATTTAGTTTCCTATTGGAGATCCACTTTTTGTCGTTCATTATACTTCATTCACACACATACGCTTCCAAATGCTCACCCTCACCCACCATCCACCCACCTACCTAATAAGATATGAATGTGAAGATCAAGAGGAAACCAGTCTGAGAAGCACACAATCTAGTTCTAGCTGGTGGGACATCCCCGCTTACACATACCTTATGACGTACCATTCATTTCTCTATCCCTCCTTTCAGCTACCCTCTGTGTCCACCAGTTGTGCGATTCATTACTATGATCTTCCACCCAAATGTCTCCCGTCATGGCGACATTGGCATTGACTCCATACAGCACAACTGGTCACTGGCTCTCACCATCTCGAAGGTCCTCATCTCAATCCAGTCACTGCTGACAGACCCCTACACCAAGGTAGGTTTCGTTGGCTCACGTTAGTGATAGGAGAAGTAACTTCTTTTTTATTTATTTTTTTTTATAGTAAGGTCTCAATTTTGTTTGAAATTTATTGTTCATACAATTAATATTATTTTTGTCAAGGAACAAAAATAATAAGGTTGTGCAATGGAAAGCTATGGAGAGAAGAGAGCCTATAATCCGATTTTAGTTTATTAATTTTCCTTGCATA